TTTTTTTGCAAAAACATGCTTATAAAAGGTGTTTTTTTTTTCGTAAAATTTCCCATAGTAATAATTTTTCCTTGCGACATCGCGTGTTTATTGCAACCATGGAACGATGGTTGAGCCTTGTAATTTTCACGAGGCAATGCAACATGAGGGGTGGAAGGAGGCTATGCAAAAAGAAATCATAGCTCTGGAAAATAATAAAACATGGGTGATGGAAAAATTACCTCCGGGTAAGAAAGCTCTTGGGTGCAGATGAGTTTACAAGGTTAAGCTTAATTCATATGGTTCACTTGAGAGATTGAAGGCTTGTCTTCTTATATTCGGTAATCATCAAGTTGAGGGTATTGACTATAACGAGACGTTTGCTCCCGTCGCTAAAATGATCACTCCTCGTGCTTTTCTGACTGTTGCTGCTAGGGATGGCAATGGGTCGGGTCCACTGAGACCTAGACTCGGAATTTCAATGGTGGACCCGGATCCGATCCAGACCCACTGGGTCTAAAAAAATCAAACCCAGACCCAAATCCATCGGGTCTAGCGGGGCTCGGATCTAAAACGGATCTAACTATGATTGTTATTAATTTTTTTTATAATTTTGTATATATATTGTAAATTTATAATTATACTACTACTTCAAAATAATCAAAGACGCATTAAAAAAAATGTGTTCATATTTTTGACACACAAATAATTTGTTCATTAAAAAGTAAAGACAATGCAAGAAAAAAAAAACTGTACTACGCAAAACTTAATATCTTGGTTGCTTGATGTTTTATTTGTTCACTTTCACTAAAGTCTATCTTCTCAACCTCTAATTATGTAGTATATTAAGTAATTTTTTTAATAGTATTATTACTAATATATATTTATTATTTATAAAAAATAAAAAATAAATAAAAATGGGTTCATGGGTCGGATCTGGATCGGGTCTGGGTCTACAATTTTTGGACCATCTACAGGTTTATATGGTCAATTTCGACCAAGAAAACTCTAGATCTGGAATTGTTATGGTCGAATTTGACCATAAACCCCAAACTTCGTGTGTTGCTTTTGATGGTGGGCTTTTCTTTTGACGGTGGCTGCTCAATTTGTTCATGGTGAAGAGAGGAGATGCGAGAGAAAGAGAAGAAGATGAGGACCGTGAAAAGAGGAATAAGGAAAGAGAAGATGGAAGCCATGAACTAAATGAGGAGAGAGAAAGAAAGAGGAAGGGCGTTCAGAGGGTAAAGGGAGGAGGAAAGAGAAGACAAAGAAAGAAGAGGAGCGTGAGAGAGAAGAATAGAAAGAGGAGATGTAGCTGCCGTGGAATGAAAATTAGGGTTTGAGAACCCTTATATACCCGTTTTTTTAAATATAAAAATAGCGGCCGTGGAATGAAAATTAGGGTTTGAGAACCCTTATATACCCGTTTTTTTAAATATAAAAATAACACTATTATGCCGTTAAAGGCGGTCGTAATTTTAGGGGTGAGCATGGATCGGATATCCGATCCGAAGTTGGATTTCGGATCGGATATCCGTATCCGAAAATGCAAATATTTGATATCCGTATCCGATCCGAAATCTTCGGATATTCGAAGATCCGGATATCCGAAAATTTCGGATCGGATAGTTCGGATATAGGATATCCGAACCTTTTAATGATTTGGTTTTTTTTACACGAATAATTATGTTAAAATAATAATTTATTGTCAAAATTAATTTGTTTTTAAAGTCAATTCATGACTGCAAAGTGCAAACTCAAACTCATAATTACAAGCTACAATTCTTCATATAATTTGAGTTTAATAATTCTACAAATTTTAAAATATAACAATCCACAAATTTCAAAATCTAAAATCAAAGATTAACAGTAACACATACCAATAGAAAGCAGAAAAAAAAAAAAGAAAAAAAACCCCCAAATAACAAAAAACCAAAATTAATTCACTGTCAAAATGGAATAAAAATTAAAAAAAAAAAACTCTTGTAATTATGTACATTATACAAGACAAATAAAAAAACCAAATTAAATGAAAAAATGTTGATCTTGAGTGAGGACGACGAAGACGACGAGAGTTGAGACTTGTGAAAGGCAAGCTTCTGGTTGTGACTTGTGAGGACGACGAAGACGCGAAGGTTTGTAGATCTAAGAGGTTGAAATTGAGAGGCTAGGGGTCTGAATTGTTGAGGGATTTTGAGGAAATGTTTAAGGATTTTGAGGAATTGTTGAGGGATTTTGAGGAAATGTATAGTGAAGCAGCCATGTACTCATGAAGACGAAGGAGGAGATCTGAATTTTGGGAGAGTAAGGAGGAGAGAGAAAGAGAGGACAGAGAGAGAGAGGAAGGAGGAAACGGCTGAATGAGAGAGGAGAGAGAAATAATTAGATTATTAGGGTTTGGTACTTGGGCCTTTGGGGAATGGGGAGTTTCTAAAAAGTAAAAACTGATGGATGTTAGGAGGTGTTGATTTTTTTCGGATATTCGGATATCCGAAATCGAAATTTTCGATATCCGATATCCGATCCGATATCCGAAATATTCAGATCGGATATCCGATCCGAAAATCTTTTCGGATCGGTAATCCTAAATTTTTGGATCGGATGCGGACCGGAATTTCGGATTTTCGGATTATCAGATAGTTTTTCTCAGCCCTACGTAATTTTGCGACTGTGTACGAAACGGTCGCAATTTGTGCAATTTGCGACCGCTTCTAACTGTCGTAAACTCCTAATCGTATAATTTTTTTTACAATTATTTTGGACATGTATTTTTTTTCAAAAATAATTGTTAAACACTCTTGCGACCATATTTTGGCCCAAAAACGGTCGTAATTTTGCGACCGCTTATGAAACGGTCACAAATTGCAATTGCGACCGTTTTTGTGACGGTCGTAGATAAACGGTCGCAATATGACCGAATTCTAGTAGTGTCCATCTTATGTGAAGACCACTGATCATGGCAAATATATTCACCAAGGCCCTAAGTAAAAACCAATTTTTGTATCTACTTGACAAGTTGGGCATTTGTGACTTGCATGCTCCAACTTGAGGGGGGGAGGTGTTAACATATATATTAATGTATAGTAGTTGGGCCAATGTGTTGAGCCCTATTCCCTATTAGGTTTTATATTTTATATATATACTTGATTAGTCTCTAATACAAACACACTGAATTATTCTCTCAATTATTGTCACATATTTATGGGCATTAACCATTAGTTTAAATTGTTGGTTGAGTTGGTTTCTTAACATAGTATCAGAGCTAGCGTGACACAATTATTGTCACATATTTATGAGCATTAACCATTAGCTTAAACTTTTGATTGAGTTGGTTTCTTAACATAGTATCAAAGCCAGCGTGACACAAAGGTTACGGGTCTCAATCTCATCCACCCCTCCTATTAAGGTGGAATATTTCGCATAGGGTATGTAGTCAATTCGTAAAACTCATGTTACATCCACATTTCAAACACAAACTCTTGTGGGGGGCATGATAGAATATAAAACAATTATAAGATTTTGTGTTTAAACAATTATGAAAGTGGAAGTGTGGAAACAACTCGCTCCCATCCCTTTTTTTTTTTTTTTTTTTTTTTTTTTTTTTTTTTTTTTTTTTTTTTTTTTTTAATGGAAACCACGTTTGATGAACATGGTTGTTCCGTAAATTTAGATCCACCCAAAATCCCTATCTATCTATATACTAGTATAAATATAGTTGTTTCAACTCAACTTTACATAACTAAGCATATACAAGTATATACACAACAAATAAACAAAATGAGTCAAGTGACAAAGTGTCTTACTACGGTAGTGTTCGTAGCCATGGCAATGCTTCTTATAGCTTCTGTCACTGTCTCAGCCACCCGTCCTTTAGTGGCCGACGAATCACCAACACCCGGCATTTATAGAAAACTTGATTTATTTTTTTTGCACCTTCATAGAAAGCTTGTTGAAACTTATGCTCATGTAAATGGTGATGATGATTATGATGCTCCAGGCGGGGGATATTAAGGTTGTACCTAAACCAACAGCAAATTCGTATGTATGCAGATTTGCTGTAGCTGTATGACCTTGATAGTATTACTTGCTGCTCTTTATTTTATTTACCATTACTTGTACCTGCTGGCTTTGTTCGCTTTGATTATTAATGTTTAGGTAATGTTTGTATTCATCTTATATGTTAACTTTATTTGATGATTGATATACAAAGCATATGAGTATTTTGATCAGCTTTATCTTTACAAATAAGTATCCGTAAATCGACTTGTACTTCATCACATACGTACACATGCCCCTTCCGACACGAATAACGAACCGCCTAATTCAAGTTGTGTAAGTAGAACGAGTGTAACTTTATGTGGAGAGGTCCAATATTCTCGTCCTTACTTGGAAACAATTCAAACAGCTCAAGACTTTAACTAAGTGAATTAGTTGATGATCTATTCACACAGAGAAAAATCAACAATAGGAGAAAGATAACCAAGTTCAAAAACTAATGAGACTAAGAAAATCACCAAAGATGTAATAGATAGGGAGTTAGGGAGCCACTCCCACTAGATCATCACACATGAATACCATTAACGGTTTATAATAAAAAAAGTTGACGGGGGAAGTCGTGATTCCCTGAAACATTATGCATATTGTAATAGACTAATAGTATATATTAATGAATATTCAATGAATATCACTCTGTCATCTAAGCTCGAAATCAAGGATTGACTTGTGCTAGTAATATTATTGCTTCAAAATAATTTTAAGTATTAAATGACGAAATAGTAGTTGGAAATCACATCTGATTAAATATAACGTATATTAGTGATAAACTATTTGTTACTGACATCATTCTTCTTGCTTCTTCTGATGATCTCCGGTGTTCTATTATGGCTATGCTTAGCTCTGAGTTTGCTATGAAGGATCTCGGTCCTTTAAATTATTTTCTGGGTATTGCTGTGACCCGTACATAGGGGGGTATGTTTCTTTCTCAAAGAAAATATGCCGAGAAGATAATTGAACGAGTAGGGATGTCTACTTGTAAACCATCTTCTACACCGGTTGATATGAGTGCTACTTCTGGTTCTATATTTGATGATCCTACTCTCTATCGGAGTCTTGCAGGGGCACTCCAATACCTCACTTTTACTCGACCGGACATTTCTTATGTTGTACAACAGGTTTGTCTACATATGCATGATCCCCGGGTGGATCATTTTTCGGCTCTTAAGCGTATTATTTGCTACAATTCAGGGTACTTTGGAGTACGGCCTCCACTTGTATCCGTCCTCTTTTTCCTCTCTAGTCTCTTATACTGATGCAGATTGGGGTGGATGTCCGGATACCCGTCGTTCGACCTCGGGTTATTGTGTATTCTTAGGTGATAATTTGACATCTTGGTCATCCAAACGACAACCCTGTTAAACTTACACAAAAAATAAGAGAAAACGGCTTAATGAGCCTTTACCATTAATCATATATATACAGGCTTACAACATTAACCTAACACACCAAAAAACTCCTAATAATATATACACAAATATATTCACAAAATATATCTAACTTAACATAAATATATCATAACACTCCCCCTCAAGTTGGAGCATGTAAATCACGAATGCCCAACTTGTTAAGGAGAAAACCAAACTGTCGCTTCCCAAGAGCTTTTGTCAAAATACCTGCTAACTGATGACCTGTAGGAACATAGGCAGTAGCTAGATTACCATTCACCAACTCATTACGAACAAAGTGACAATCTGCCTCTATATGCTTTGTTCGATCATGAAAGATGGGATTTTAGCAATATGAAGAGCATATTGACTATCACAATACAACTTCATAGGCTTGTTATGCAAAATACCAAGAGATGACAACAAAGATTTCAACCATTTTAACTCACAAGTTGTAACTGTCATAGCACGATACTCAGCTTCAGCAGAAGAACGAGATACTGTCGGTTGTTTCTTAGTCTTCCATGAGACAGGGGAACGACCAAGAAAAACTATATAACCAGACAAAGAACGACGAGTCAGAGGACACGCCACCCAATCACTATCACAAAAATCCGTCAAACACATGTCCTTCATAGGACGTAACAATATACCTTGACCAGGACTACCTTTAATATAGCGTAGTACCCTGATAGCCGCATCCCAATGTTGCACCAGCGGGTTACTCAAAAACTGTGCAAGAGTATGAACAGAGTAACTCAACTCTGGACGAGTTACAGATAAATAAACCAATCGCCCAACTAAGCGACGATACTGATCAGGTTGAGAGAATGGCTCCCCCTCGGCATATGCCAGACGATGATTTTTCTCCATAGGAGTATCAATAGGCTTAAAACCTAGCATTCCTGCTTCAGATAACACATCTAAAGCATATTTACGCTGTGATAAAAATATACCTTCTGGACCACGAGCAACTTCAATGCCCAAAAAATACTTCAACACACCAAGATCTTTCATATGAAAGCAAGAACTCAAATATTTTATAAAACAAATAATCGCATCATGAGACAAACCAACAATAATCAGATCATCAATATACACAAGGACATGGAGGGAGACGCCACCCTGAATATAACTGAACAAAGAATAATTTGCATATGATTGCTTGAAACCATAAGATTTCAAGGCATTAGACAACTTAGAAAACCATTGTCGAGGAGCCTGTTTCAGACCATATAAAGACTTACGCAACCTACAGACCTTCCCTGGAGTAGCACAATTATAACCCGGAGGTAATTGCATATACACTTCCTCCTCCAAATCTCCATGAAGAAAAGCGTTATGAACATCCATTTGATGCAACTCCCAATTTAAAGAAGCAGCAACAGAAAGAAAGAGTCTAACAGTCCCCATTTTTGCCACAGGGGCAAAAGTCTCATTATAATCAACACCTGCAACCTGTCGATTGCCATACACAACAAGACGACCTTTAAGTCGCTCTACTTCACCTGTAGATGTATATTTAATTTTATACACCCAACCACTACCAATAGCCTTCTTACCTGGAGGTAAGTCCTCCAAAGTCCATGTGCCATTTCACTCAAGAGCATCAATTTCTTCTTTCATCGCTTTACGCCACCATTCATGTTTTATAGCTTCCCTAAACGAGGAAGGCTCTTTTCCCTTTGTAACTGCTGTCAGAAAACACTTATGTCTCATAGAAAAATTGTGATAATCAACATAACAAGCTATATCAAATTGTTTACCTGAAGAACGTGATTAGGAAGCGGGTGCAGTAAATTTTGAAGGAGTGGGGTCTATACAGTGGCGAACAAGTGTATTAGTAACATAGCCACGAAGCTTCGAAGAGGGAAATTTTTGACGATGCCCACGAACCAAAGTTTCACCATTACCTGTAGTGCTAATCACTGCCATGTCACTCGAACTCCCCCTTGAATCAAGAGGGTCAACAGAAGCATTACCATCATTAACATTACTAGTATTTGATGACGAGGCAGGGGCACTAACAACTTGCATGTCACTAGACACATTACTAAATTCATTACCACCAGTAGCATTTATATCATGCATTTCATTAACACCAATCTCACGCACAGGAGCATGCACATGCAAGTCATCATCATAAAACTCATTATCATCCCACAAATTAACTTGATTAAAGTAAGACTCCCAATGCACCCTCTCTGCTGCATTAATAGTATCAATAAACGGGAAAGTGTCCTCAACAAATTTCACATCACGACTTATCAAAAATTCATTAGTTTCCAAATCATAAAATATCCAACCTTTTTCCCATAAGGATATCCAAAAAAAATGCACCGCCTAGACCTCGAGTCAAATTTATCCTTAGTACGAGCATTATCCACCACATAACGTAAACAACCAAAAACACGCACCTCATCATAAGAAGGAGGTTTCCCAAACAAATATTCATGAGGTGTTTTACCATTTAAAGTAGGAGTCGGGGTCAAATTAATAAGACGAACCGCAGTTAAAACACATTCTCCCCAAAAATACTTAAGTAATTTAGCTTGGAAACGTAAAGCACGAGCAACATTTAAAATATGTTTATGTTTCCTTTCAACACGATCATTTTGTTGAGCGGTATCCACACATGAGGTTTGATGCAATATTCCTTTTTTTTCAAAAAAAGGTCTCAAACTCAAGAACTCTTGCCCATTATCACTTCGTAAAACTTTTATTTTTTTATTGAATTGAGTTTTTATTAAAGCATAAAAGTTACGAATTAACTTCCCAACTTCATATTTTCCAACCATCAAATAAATCCAAGTTGCACGGGAGAAATCATCAACAATAGTAAGAAAATATCTAGCATTGCAACTAGATGATACTCTATTTGGACCCCAAATATCACAATGTATCAAATCAAACAAACCAGATGCTTTATTCATACTTAAAGGAAAAGAGTTTTGGGGTTGTTTACCCATAAAACAAATACGACAATAAAAAACAACACACTTTTTATTCATACTACTACTGGCTACTCCAGGCAAAGAAGAAACAACTTTCATCGAAAGGTGACTTAAACGTCTATGCCATAACATACTTGCATCTGGAACATCAACCGAATTGACTTGAAAACTATGAGCACGAACTGGTCTGAAGAGATAGACCCCATTATACTGCACCCCCGCTCCAATCAGGTTCTTCAAAGTGCAGTCCTGAATTATACATAGCTTGTTAGTGAAAAGAACAATATATTTTTGCTTTTCTAATAATTGAGATACTGACAATAAGTTACAATTTAATTCGGGAACAAATAAAACATCTTCTAATATTAAACCATCACTCAATTTTATTTTTCCTTCCTTAGTGGCCGTAGTACTCTTTCCGTTAGGCAAACCAACCGGAGATAAAATATCACACAAATCATAAAACAAATTTAAATCACCCGACATATGATTCGACGCTCCGGTATCAATTATCCACTCATTAAAATTATACATACCGTGAGATGTTTGGTCACTTGAATAATTATTAGTGGGTTTTCCACCCTTTATTGCATTTAAGAATTGGGCCCATTGTGCATCAGTGAGTGTAGGAGCACTTTGACGATCATTCTCATTAATCTCAGACCCACTCAATTGACGAGTGTTGTTGCTCATATTTGCTGCAAACCCACGGCCACCACCACTTGATTGACGACTACCACGACTACCACTACTTGATTGACGACCACCACGACTAGTCCTACCACCACGATTACCACCACGACCACCACCGTTAAACGATTCGGGCCAACCCACAAGATCAAAACACTTCTCCTTCTCATGACCCTTTTTACCACAATGGTCACACACCCTAGCATCACCACCACCGGACCAAGAAGTAGTCCTGGCTTGAGCAGAACCTGACGCTGCAAACCCAACTGCCTCCGAACGAGTATCTTGAGCATCGGAGACCGTTTGTTTACGCTCTTCAGACACCACTTTTGCATAAGCCACATTAAGGGAAGGTACTGGGTCCATCATAAGAAGGGTAGAAACAACACCACCAAATTTCTTTGGCTCCAAACTGATACAAAATTGATGGAGTAGTTCACTTTCAACAATTTTAGCATATTCATGAGCAGCAGTACATGTACACTTGGGAACTTTGACATAACTAGCTAACTCATCTTGTAATTTACGTAACTCACCAAAATACACAGCCACCGGCCTACCACGCTGCTTGCAATCCACAATTTGAGCCTTTAAATCAAGAATACGAGGGCCATTGCCAAGGGAATATCTATCACGTAGATCATCCCACAAAGACTTGACATGGTCTGGGAAACGAACAGTGGATCGAACAGAGACATCCAAAGTATTAACAATCCAAGCAACAAGCATTGAATTAACAATCCCCCATTGATCAAAATCAGGAGACTTAGCATCCGGCACGGTAATAGTACCATCAATAAAACCAAGTTTGTTCTTTGCACGAGGGTTATTGCGTAAAGAACGAGACCACTCCTTGTAGTTATCTCCTTTTAGCAGAATTGGGCTAATCACAACCCTTGTACCTTCACTCGGATGGAGATAGTAGGCAGAGAACGGTTCATAACGAGGACCCGGAGGAGGAGGCGGCGGCGGAACTTCACCACTAGTCATCACAACTCAAACGAAAAAGAAGAAAACAATGAACACACAAAGCGGAAGCACACACCAGGAACTAATTAACTCACGCAAATAATCTTGAAAAAAAAAATCAAAAATACTAGGGTTTGTGTTTGGGAATAAATTAGGAAAAGCAACGTAAAAAAAAAATCTCAAATCAAAGGGCTCTTGATACCAGGTTAAACTTACACAAAAATAAGGAGAAAACGGCTTAATGAGCCTTTACCATTAATCATATATATATAGGCTTATAACATTAACCTAACACACCAAAAAACTCCTAATAAGATATACACAAATATATTCACAAAATATATCTAACTTAACATAAATATATCATAACAAACCCACATTGTCTAAGTCGAGTGCCGAGGCGGAGTACCGTGGGGTTACTAATGTTGTCTCCGAATCTTGCTAGCTTCGGAATTTATTACAAGAATTATATTGTCCGATTAAAAAGGCTACTCTTGTTTATTGTGACAATGTCAGTGCAGTTTATTTATCGGGTAATCCAGTGCAACACCAGCGTACAAAACATATAGAGATGGATATCCATTTTGTTCGGGAGAAGGTTGCATGTGGTGAAGTTCGTGTGCATCATGTTCCTTCCCGTCATTAGATTGCGGACATCTTCACTAAAGGGCTTCCCATTGTATTATTTGAGGATTTTAGGGACAGTCTCTGCGTCCGTAAGCCTACCGTTTCGACTGCGGGGTGTGTTAAATATGTATATATTTTGTATATTATATTCTCTAGTCAAAGGATATATTTAGTTCCTAAATATACGCCTATAGTTATGCCTATTGTTAGGTTTGTAATTTGTATATAACCGAGCTTGATTAACGAAATCAGTCAAGGAAAAATATTCCACATATTCTTTCACTATTCATTTCCTTTATTTCTTTTTGTTTAAGATTAGGAAAAATTGTCAAAAATAATACTCCCTCCGTTTTATAATGTTAGTCCTATATAGAATCAATCATATAAAATAAGAAAACAAATATATTTGGAATCTAACATTAAAGTACAACATAATTCATAATTTTTTTACCTTATTTAGCTTTTTTTATTTTTTATTAGGAAAGCACAAGTCATAATTGCATAATTTAAGGTAAAAATTTCCTTACTTAGAGTCATGTCATCAATCCACAATCAATTAATTCCAAAAAAATCAATTTATAAATGAAATATTTTCAATATGGGTAGATCTTTTTGAAATGCCCAAAATAGTATATGAGACTAAAACATTATGAAACGGAGGGAGTACGGAGTAACACCCTAATTTCACCTGTCTTTCTAAAATAAAACGACATTAATCATCATTCGGTCACATTTTATCTTGAACGAGTGCCTGTCAAAGGTCATTTTGGAATTGAATAATCAAAAGTCATTTTACTTTTGAAAGTTAAGGTCGGATTTTTTTTTTCAATTTATCTCAAAAACTACTATTTATTTGCCTTTCATACAATTACCATTGCACTGATAAGCTTACCAAGTTTTAGACCATTTGAATATTATAAGGTCGATCACTACCAAAGTGGACTATTTTGATGGTGAATTAGAATTTCATCTTAATGCCATTGTCCTTAGCTCCTATATAATGGATCTATGTCATAATCACCTATAATAATCCCTTCACTATATCCCAGATTCCTAGCTGATTGACTGCTACAATATGCTTATTCCACCAAATATGCTCATTTTCAATTTTAATAAGTATCTTGAAGTGGCTTTTTCAATAACTTATTCAAGCATTTTAAAGAAAAATGACAATTATACCCTCATTAAACCAAAAAATTCTACCAAAGTAAAATTAACAATGTCTTTAACTCTTTATTGATCATTTTGCATACTCAAACATCTTTTGAAAAATCAATTGTTTACACAACACTTTTATACAATTAACTACTCCCTCCGTCCCCAATTGTTTAGTCACATTTGCTTTTTTATTGAGAATATATTAGGATATATTTTAGGATCTCTTGAGGATAGTGAATATCTTTTTGATATATTTTCCTTATTTTCCTAGTTTCCTAATCCTATCATATTAGGGTTAACTTGTATTTTATATATTGAGGTTGAAGCCATCAATGAAAGTTAAGTCATTCACTTCTATTTTCTCTCTAATTTAGCATGGTATCAAGAGCGGGTTAAATTTTTTTCGACCATGACCGGTTTTTTGGGTAATACAAAAACCTCATAAATCCGTCTCTATGGTAAATTTAACAACACTTGTTGGATTATTGATACCGGTGCAACTCATCACGTCACTGGAAATAAATCTTGGCTATTTGACTCTTACAACATTGAATGTCCTGTTGGTTTTCCCAATGGTGAGAGTGTACTTGCATCTTTGGCTGGATCTGTTTGTTTGTCTGATAAAATCACTATCTTTGGAGTTCTCTTTGTCCCGAATTTGAATTGCAATTTAATTTCAGTCTCTCAACTTACTGATCAATTAAAAGTTGTTGTACAGTTTAACTCGCATGTGTGTACTATACAGGACCCAATGAAGAAGTTTATTGGCACGGGTCTTAGGCAAGACGAACTCATTATCTTAGCAAGCCGGACGTGGTGTGTGTGTTGGTGGTTGGAGCGACTTCTGAGTTGGATCTTTGGCATAGAAGGATGGTTCACCCTTCTGAGAAGGTAGTTAAGTTGCTTCCTCATATTAGCAATAATAACACTAGTTTATCAAAAGGTTGTGAAGTATGTTTTCGTGCTCAACATTCTAGAGACAAATTTCCTATGAGTGACAATAAAGCTTCTAGAATTTTTGAAAAAATACATTGTGATTTATTGGGTCCATATCGTCATGTTTCCTCCTGTGGGGCTCGTTATTTCTTGACTATTGTTGATGATTATTCCTGTGCGGTTTGGATCTATTTGCTGCTTGATAAAACTGAGGTTTTTTGAATGTTTATGACTTTTTTTGCTATGGTTGATAGACAATTTAATCAAACGATTAAAATTGTTCAGATTGATAATGAGACTGAATTTAATTGTTTGAACGATTTTTTTTGTTGCAACTGGTATTCTTTTTCAAACCTCTTGTTTTGGGACTCCTCAACAAAACGAAAGGGTAGAGAGAAAACACAAACACATTCTTAATGTTAGTAAGGCCTTGAGATTTCAAGCCAATCTTCCTATTTATTTTTTAGGTGAGTGTGTTGTAGCTGCGGCTCATTTGATTAATCGTAATCCTACCCCTATTCTACAAAATAAATTTCCTTTCGAAATTCTTTTCAATAAACCTCCTTCTTTTGGTTCTATTCGTAGTTTTGGTTGTTTGTGTTTCGCACACAATCAAAAGACGAGGGGGGATAAATTTGCTAGTAGGAGTCGTAAATGTGTTTTTGTGGGTTATCCATTCAGGAAAAAGGGATGGAAGCTATTTGATCTTGAAACAAAGGAGTTTTTTGTCTTTCGTGATGTGAAATTTGTCGAAGATATGTTCCCTTTTGGAAGTCCGGATGATGTAAATATCGATGTCAATTTTGGAAATACGGAGGATGAGATTCATGTGGATTTTGATGATCATAATTTGAGCTATGATGACAATGCTATAGCTGTATAATGCTGCAGGCCGCAAGGGGGGTGCGGAGTCCACTGCTACTGCCTCTGCTCCACAACGTCAAGAGCAGCAGCAACACGATAAAGAACAGCAGCAACATCACGTAGAGAAGCAGCATCAACACGTGGAGCAGTAGCCACCTGAGGCTGAAACTGCCCAGTCCGAGCAGCCCTATTCAAGTGCAGAAACTGCCACGGACCAACACAGTAAGTCTAAGCAATCCTCCCCCTTGGCAGATCCTACCGCTCAGCAGGCCTCTCATGAGTTGGGTCGAGGTTTTCGGGATAAATATCCCTCGGTTTTGCTCCGTGATTTTATTACACACACGGTTGTTGCTAAGAGTACGTCTCCTACTTCCAATCTGACTCCAAGTACTCCGTATCCCCTGGCACATTACATAAATTGTGATATCTTTCTGTGAATTATCACAAATTTCTTACAGCCGTTGTTTTGGGAAAGGATCCAAAATCCTTTAAAGAAGCCATGAAATCTGAAGGTTAGCAACGTTCTATGAAAGAAGAAATAAGGGCATTAGAAGACAATGGGACTTGGACTTTAGAGTATCTTCATCCCGGTAAGAAAGCTCTAGGCAGTCAATGGGTGTACAAGACGAAATTTTTGTCTAATGGTGATGTTGAACGTCTCAAGTCTCGTTTGGTTGTTTTTGGTAATCATCAGCAGGAAGGTATATATTATAGTGAGACTTTCGCTCCGGTTGCAAAAATGACTACAGTTCGGGATTTTCTTGCTATAGCCACTTCTAAAAATTGGGAGCTTCATCAGATGGATGTTCATAATGCTTTTCTACATGGTGATCTAGAAGAGGAGGTGTACATGAAATTACCTCTTGGTTTTGAGAGCTCGGATCCGATTTTGGTGTGTCGTTTGAGAAAGTCTTTGTATGGGTTGAAACAGGCTCCAAGGTGTTGGTTTGTAAAACTCACCACGGCTCTGAAAGGGTACGGTTTTATTCAATCTTACTCTGATTATTCTCTTTTCACATCCACTAAAGGCAATGTTCAGATTAATGTCTTAGTTTATGTTGATGATCTTATTATTTCTGAGAATGATTCCGCTGCATTAACTGTGTTCAAGGCTTATCTTGGTGATTGTTTCAAGATGAAGGATCTTGGTCCTTTGAAGTATTTTTTGGGCATTGAGGTAGCTCGTAGTAAATCTAGATTGTTTTTGTGTCAACGCAAATATACTTTTGATATTATTTCAGAAGCAAGGTTGTTAGGGGCAAAGCCAAGCGGCTTTCCGATTGAGCAAAATCATAAGCTTAGCCTTGCTAGTGGTGAGTTACTTGCTAATCCTGAGTCTTATCGCGGACTGGTAGGACGGTTAATTTATCTATTGGTTACTAGACCAGATTTAGCGTATTCTGTTCATATTCTCTCGCAATATATGCAAGAACCTTGCGTTGAGCACTGGGAGGCAACTCTAAGGGTAGTTCGTTATTTGAAGGGTACACCGAGATAGGGTATTTTGTTGAGTGTTGATAGTGACCTGACTTTGCAAGGTTGGTGTGATTAAGATTGGGCGGCATGTCCTCTTACGCCTCGTTCGTTGACAGGTTGGCATGTGTTTCTTGGTAAACCCCCTATTTCGTGGAAAACTAAGAAACAACCTA